AAGCAAATATACATATGATTATGACGATATATTTTCTGTATGTATTTTGTGAACTTTATTTAGCTATATTTAATGCTGTATATTGAGCAGTGGACGATGTTAAATTCATATATGAGATACATATCTGAGTAAAAATGCGTGCAGGCGTGAATTAGCAGAAGGCAATCAATCATTTCGTGCTCGGCGTGAAAGCAACGTTCGTCGGCGATTCGCCTCGGTTTTTCGCCTTGCGTTCAGTGTGAAACGGCCTTTAGGGTGTCCCATTTGTCATTTTAGCGTTCAGAAGGGTGCTCGCGACCTTTACTATGAGTTTGTTTGTAATGATGATTAAATGTGAACATTGTTTAAGTACCACTAAATGCTCCTCAGATCCCTGTAACTTTACAATGAAGTCCAGCAGTCTCTTTAGCTCTGCAGTGTGCTCATCGACAGCCTGAATGTGGATTTCCCCTGAGATAGCACTCTGTACACTGGCTGAAGAGTTCCTAGGAGCAAGTTTCTGGCCTCATCAGTCCAGAAGGCAAACCGCTGACCATGCCTTTCAAACATCAACAAGATTAATCTAAAGTACTGCCAAAAGGACAGGCTACTAACACATACTGTGGTGCAACCAAGCAATGAGCCCAGATTAATTATGAAAGATGATTTATACTTAACTAATATACTAAAACAATGAGTATCAAACACGTTTTCACACTAATACAGTAAGCTACAGGTAAATCTCACATCAACATGCTTTTATCATCTTTTTAAGTTTAATTAATGTGCTGGCTAGATTTACTTATTGTAGTCATTATGTCAACAAGGTTTAGCTTAATTAAATCATGGCCACGAATTAAGAACATCGTAATAATCAATAAAACTAGCAATCGGGAATTCATTATTATTTCTTAGCAGTTCTCACGTTGGCTACGTAAACTTTGCATCGTTTAAAGGTTATAAAATAAAACTTAATTGAAAATCGGTAAAGTTACTCACTGATTGCTGTCCATGTCGTCCATCTTTAGTGATCCAATTCGGTAGGTGGCGCTGTTACAAAATAATAGGGTCCTAGAACTGCAGCCTCCGGTTGTGCAGGAACATACTATTGCCTACTACTCTAAAATTAATACGGGGAGCGGCTGGAAACTAGCGACCTCTCCTGGTTGGAGATTGTATTGACATCATAAACTGAAAGCAATCTTTACTTGACTTGCTTTTCAAATATTTTAAAATTGATCATCCGAGTCTAATATGATCCAGCGGGCCGCCAGTTGCCCATCCCTTTTCTACACCTGTTTAACATCCTTTGTTCATAACTCAGTAATGCTGTTTAATAAACACAACTGTCACTACAGCTTTACTGGCCCATTGTCAGGAAAGTTCCACTGACTGGAAGCCCCTCAATTAAAATTACCCTAATTTTCTCCCAGTTTAAGCCCTTTAGAGCGGTAGACTAAAGCTTTTACGCTGTCTTATTCTGTTAACATGATGAACCATATCTGTGTTACACCTACAAGCCACCATCTGCAGTGCACAGCTGTGGTTGAAATGCTATTTTCAGCCCTTCTCAGCAGTCCATGACATCTTAATTCATTGTAAGATTTGATTTATTTCACCTGTCGTTAATCTCACCTAATCCGTGCTATTCATATTCATCTGTTCTCTCTTCTGTTATTTATTCCTGTTTTTGGTATTACTTCATGATTTTGGCATGAGGAGAGAACTTCTCACTAACCGCTGTGTGCACATTTTGGTGTATTTTTGGTTTATTATGTTTGGCCTCTGCTGTGGAATGGCTGTTTGCATATGTTATGATAATTCTGTGGTTTCACAACTAATAAAGGATTATGTAAGATAAGTTCATGTATATTTGGGAATTACTGCGGGGAAAATTTCAATCAGTAATTCAGTTGCTGCTTTTATACAGTTTGCATTTATCATTAGGAACAATGCTTGAGAAAAGTCAGTGAAAGTGTTCACATTTTCCACTTTGGTTTAATGCTGTCTGTTTATGTGTTTTTGCACAGGATGTTTGACAGAGCGACAAAGAAGCTGATCCAACAGCTAGATCCTAAGGGTGCTCTGATTGCGACTTCCAGACTAAATGATTCCGGAAAACTCCAGGCGCTTGCGGTGGTGCTGAAAACCCAGAAAAGCTGGTTCTGGCAGCAAACTAAATACAAACCCACAGGATTCAAACTCAATGACCTGCTGGAAGGGGATCCAATTAAACCAGGTAAAGTGCATAGTGAATAGGTATCTCAGTAGAAACAGATGTTTTTTTCAAAATATGCCTAAATGGAACTGTCTTGTGTTTGTCCTTGTTGAAATTAATATCTCTCTTTGTTTTGATCAGTGTGTGAGGAGAACGAGTTTGTAACGTTTGAGGGAGGGTACAGAAACTCTGTAACTGGATCTATAGAGTTGGGAGGTTCTGCTGTCTCCCTAAATGCGAATGGACAGGGCACATCGAAACTTAGTTTATCAATCGGGACACTTAAGAAGGAAGATGTGGATATTCCCAGTCTTGTGACGCTCATTAGAGGAAGGTTAGAGAAAAACAATTTAATATGATGTCGACCCACTTAAATGAACGTTAATTACAAACTAGGGAGAATATGTTTTTTTAATCATAATTTGGAAAATCAATTCAAAACCTAAAGTTGAACCTTGTGGTATCTCTTGACAGGAATGTTCGTTCAAAAATTATTTTTATTTTGAACCCTCATGTTATTAAAAATCTGTAAAGAAGATGTTTTAAAAATGTTTCAACTTTTCATTTTCATTGTATGGAAAAAAAAATCTAACATTTTTCAAAATACCTTTTTTGTAAAATCACACGTTTGGAATGACATGCGGATGAGTATATGATGACAAAATTGACATTTTGATGCATATAAAATGATAATCTGATGTGGTTTGATATTCATTCCTCTGCTTTTTACCTTGATGACCCCCATAGGAAGTTGGACCTCAAAAACTCTTTTTTCAAGCAGTCCCCCCCAAAACACATGGCTTTTACCATCCTTAAAGAGCGAATTTTCACCACCCACCCATGCTCCATCTCTTATACCAAACTGGATAAGGCCAGCTGCCATGCTGCGGTTGATTTTGCCGAGGTTTGTAAGAAGTAGTGTGTTCAGGGATTGAACGGTAATGATCAGGAGTTTAGCTTCATTAATGAATGTCATTATCATATCATATCATGTCATTAATAAATCTCCTTTTCTGACTCAGTGTTGTTATTGGTAACTGCACTCTAAAAAATGCTGGGTTAAATATAACCCAGCACTGGGTTAAAAAGGGACAAACCCAGCTATTGGGTTGTTTTGACCCAGCGTTGGATATATATTTATATTTAACCCAGCATTTTTTAGAGTGTGAACTATTCAAATAATTTTCAGTAATTGATATAAAGCTGAAATAAATTAAAATATAACATAAATATTGGATGAAAAACTGAAACTTAAAACTTAATCGAGAAGAACTAAACTTACTAAAACTTAAATAAAAAAAATGTACGCTATATAGAAATAAAAAACTGCACTAAATAAAAAGCACATAAAACTACTGAAATTAAAATCAAAACTGAAAATATAAAAGTAAATGCTAATTCAAAATATGAATAAATACTAATTGTATATAAATAATACTAAACAACAACAACACAGAATTAACGGCCTTTTTGGTGTTTCAGATGCACGTTAAAGACAGCGGTGAAATTCAGTATGGCTCTAAGACTGCATTACACATCCCACCGAACACTGTGATGGCTTACAGTGTCATTGAAATGACCATCGAAAGTGACGGCTACTTTGGTCAGTGACATTTATTGAATATGGCTTAACATTACAGTTCCTTTTGATTTTTTATTACATGTATCAACATATATTAAATTCATTACTATTTTTATTCTACTATTACTATTTATTTATATGTATTTTTATCATTTTATATTAATTATGTTTATTATTTGGAAGGGGAAAAAAACAGTTTGACAAATGTGCTGTGTATGTATTTGGGCTTTCCATGTCTGAGTTTTGATTTTTGTGTGAATTTAGATTTGTGCATTTGGTCCAGTGGGTTTGAATCAGATGACATTTCCGAGAATCCATTTCCCAATTTCTCAGAGGTGGATGGTCAATGGCCACTGATCCAGGAAGGTTTCCCACTTACTACTCTAAAAAAAGGTGTGTGTTTCAGTTCCTTTGTGTTCTGCTTAAGTATCTGTGCAGAAGTAGGATTAGCCCTGCATTTCTCTTTCCCTTTTTTAAGTTCCTGGTTCTTAGGACATTGTGATAATAATAATGAGGCACTTTGAGATGTATATTTGTGGTCTCTTTGCAGCACTTGCAGATGTTCAGACTAGCTTTTGTGCACTGGCTGACTTGTCTGCTGAAAGCCGTTCCTCCATCCTTCTCCTGCTGAGGGAAATTCTGACGGACCGATCTGTCTTGTCAGCTTTGGTGGAAAGAGTGAGTGATAGTATAAGGAACAACGATAAGAAACAATGCTTGCTAAATCATGTCCAAAAGTTGCAGAAGGACATTGTGAAATTGCATAAATGGGTGATTCTTTCTTTAAGAGGATTTTCTGTCCTCTAGGATGATTTTAAAGATTATTTCACGGTAGATTTGAATTTTTTCCTCATTTTTAAGAGAGTTTAAAGGTGCCATAATTTCTCTATTTTGTGCTTGTATCCACAGATTTATTTCTCCTCCTATATTTTTTATTTAATTAGTGTTAGTTTGAATATCATTAAAAGTAAACGTTTCATTTTTCAAGATTTCAAGTAGTCAAGGGTCATGCAACTGAAAAATGACACAGATATGAAAGTTTTTTCCTCTTTATATCACTTATATTTAGTTTTCTCTGATCGCATTGTCTTTTTGTCTTTTAGCTTGAGGTGTTAAGCAGCAATGAAGCTCCGTGCTTCTTAGACAACGAGTTGTCTGAAAAACAGAGCCAGATCATTGGTGCTTTTTTAGACTTACTGAAAGGTGAACAACTTGACAAGAGTGGACTTACCACATCAACGTCATTGTCCAGTTATAATGGATGTCAGATATCAACAGCCAATCACAGGGATTCTCCCTTGGCATCTGAGTTAAATGGATCAAGCCCCATACCAGAAGAACAGAATGGATGTCACAAGGCTGTATCTCATCAGAACGGATGCTCAACAAAAGCAAGCAGGCAGAGCATGGAGCTTATGAATGTTATGGAAATGCTGATCAATTCTCTTGACGGTTAGTACTGTACCTAAACTCAGAGGTTTCATATGTACGTAGACTGTCTGTCTTCACTCATACACTTTATTGTTCGATTCAGAACTCACGGATGCTGGACTGGACCTGCTAGAGCCGTTCTGCACTTCTGAAGGTCTCCAAAGTCTACAGGATGTAGTGAGTTTAATATTGTTGGATGCCAATGCAGATTCTGAATGAATGCTTGAGAAAAATTGAAAGTAGTTGAAACAAAAAAATAAAACAAAACAAACATTAAAATAAAAAATGTAATAATTTTATTCCATTTTGTTTTCTGTAAACCTAGGTGATTCATCTGACTACTAGCGATATGCCTAGTAGCAAGGACACCATGCCTGTTTTCCTCCAAAGTGACAATGAATTCCACAGAGTGGAGGAACTTTTTAAGTCATGCAATGTTTTACTAAGGAAAGAGAATGACATGTTAACCTCAGAAATTACCTGTAGAGAGGGCTTCCTCCCAATGGTTCTGTGCATTGCCATCCATGGCCTTGCATCCTTTGTTTCTGAGTGACACTGTTAGTGCTTTTACTGACGGCTGAAATAGGCTGTTAAAGTGTCATTTTAACATGTTTTCCCAATTACAAAGACATATTAGTTCATGCAGAAATTACTTGCTTTAGTTTTAATGCTCCTATGTGCAGACATTTACTTGCTTATTAATATTTTGCATTAATTTTATCTTTGTTAATTCCATAAGAGTAATCAGTCTAATTGTAATATATCTCCAACAAGGTGCCTTTACTCAGGTTTATACAGATTTGAAATATTTCTGCAAAAAAAGTTATATTTATACATAACTTTATTTTCCAGATAATTTTAGTTATTTTCCCAAACTAAAATACTTTTATTTTCTTTTATTACAGTGAAATTGTAGTAAAAGCCTGATTTAAAAAACTTTATGAAAACAACAGTTTATTTTGTTCTCTGAAATTGATTTGTTTTCCATAGATCATTTATAGATAGCAGTATTCATTTAGTATTTCTTTATTTGCCAAGGATAAAAAGGATACGAATGCTAGGATGAAAGTTCAGAATCAGATCTTTTTTATTGTAATATTTTTCATAATATAAAATTTGTGTTATTTTGTGTTACTGTAAATGTATCATTTTGGCAGATTTTCAAATAATAATGTGCTCATCACTGCACTCGAGCTATAATTTTTTACTTATGTAGAATATATGATAGTATGCTAATACATTTATTGTATCTCTCTGCACAGGATTGAACGCAGCGATTTTCTCAAAGATTCTGTTTGATTGCATCGTGCACATTCTAATATTGTACATAATTTTCGCGCATCAGGGCGCTGCTATCAATATGTGGGGTAGGTATTTAAATCCCCTTTGAATGAGCGCTTGCAGTCAGTAGTTCACTTTCACTTTCGATTTCGCAATCACGCGCGCACTGTGCAAAGGGAGCACATCCTACGATAAAAGATATTTGTCAATGAGCTCGGGATCTGTTGAGCAAATCCTCCAACATCTTGTCAGTTATCTCTCCTTACTTTTGACCCGTGATCAGTCAAATCTGACTTCTGCAGGTCGTGTTGGATGCAGGGTTGTTGTTGTTTTTTTTGGGCTGCTTTTAAACTGTTGTCATGGGTTGATTTCCCCCAGTGGGTTAAAGGTTTGAAATATTGCATAAATTACATTTGGTTGAATTGCGTGTACTGTAACATTTTGCATTCTACCTGTAATAAAACTAAATGATTTGAGCTGTGTTTATGATTCATTTAGTATTTCTTTATTTGCCAAGGATAAAAAGGATACGAATGCTAGGATGAAAGTTCAGAATCAGATCTTTTTTATTGTAATATTTTTCATAATATAAAATTTGTGTTATTTTGTGTTACTGTAAATGTATCATTTTGGCAGATTTTCAAATAATAATGTGCTCATCACTGCACTCGAGCTATAATTTTTTACTTATGTAGAATATATGATAGTATGCTAATACATTTATTGTATCTCTCTGCACAGGATTGAACGCAGCGATTTTCTCAAAGATTCTGTTTGATTGCATCGTGCACATTCTAATATTGTACATAATTTTCGCGCATCAGGGCGCCGCTATCAATATGTGGGGTAGGTATTTAAATCCCCTTTGAATGAGCGCTTGCAGTCAGTAGTTCACTTTCACTTTCGATTTCGCAATCACGCGCGCACTGTGCAAAGGGAGCACATCCTACGATAAAAGATATTTGTCAATGAGCTCGGGATCTGTTGAGCAAATCCTCCAACATCTTGTCAGTTATCTCTCCTTACTTTTGACCCGTGATCAGTCAAATCTGACTTCTGCAGGTCGTGTTGGATGCAGGGTTGTTGTTGTTTTTTTTGGGCTGCTTTTAAACTGTTGTCATGGGTTGATTTCCCCCAGTGGGTTAAAGGTTTGAAATATTGCATAAATTACATTTGGTTGAAATGCGTGTACTGAAACATTTTGCATTCTACCTGTAATAAAACTAAATGATTTGAGCTGTGTTTATGATAAATGTGCATAACAGTGACTGTAAAATATGTATTTTAGGGATGGAAATTACATTTTTATATTTGGGACATGGTAATTGCGCTACTTTGGGCTGTTTTTTTTTTACTGGCATAGGCTTGGGATGCACAATTAAAATGATGTAATAGCTGTGATCATTATTTTACCTTCCATGATCATTCAGACACGATCAGGTGCAATACTGACACTCTGTCAAGACTGCATCAAATCAAGCACTCCGTAATCACAGGTAAACTGCCTGATCAGTCAGATGCTTGTCATGAGAAGTGTTCCACAAAACAGCTATGGTTTGCAAACAGTTATAAGAGTTGATGTGACAAATACATCTTTTGAATATACTGTGTGAACTCATTGCCCCGTTAGCTCGGAGAGCTTTATTTTCCCTCCTCAATAAGTTTTGTCAGTTGTTTTGTTTATTGGTCTAATTCTTGTTTCTTGGGTTGCATTGGTTAGTCACTCAATTAATTCTCTTGTGCTTCGTTCCCCCCTTCTGAATTATGTTGTATTGATAAGGAGTTGTCACAAAGTAAGACTGTTTAGTTGCGCTATCTTACATTCAATATAAAGTAAATGTAAGTTAAAGTGTCGCCGATGTAACCGGTTAAAACTTGGAGTGGCGATGAGGTCTTAAAATGTATGGAAAGAGTCTTAAAAAAGGTCTTAAAAGGTATTAAATTTAACTCCATGATTCCTGTATATACCCTGTATTATTACTAAATAAAAAAAAGAGGAACAAAGAATAACAATGGTTGGTCTGTTTATTGTCTTGTTGTAACGGACTTGTTGACATAGACACAAAAATACATTTGGCAGAGAGGTCATGGCATTCTGGGACAGAATTTGAAAGACATTCAAGAAAGAAGAAACAACAAGAAAAAGACTGAAATCAACAGGTCTATTTGTTTGGGTCTTTAACGGACTGAGGATAATAAGACACAACATGCAGCCCAATGTTGTACAACAGACAAAATCAGTGAATGAAATATTACAAAAAAACACTATAAATAAAACAAACTGCACACATTAATATGGACTTTTTGCATAAGAGATTCATTACATCTCTTTTGGATATGAAGAGAAGCAAATAAACAGTTAAGAGATCTGGGTCTATGTAAACAGTTTTATGGTTCATGATTTTAGCATCTAGAATGTTCTACAGGAGCCCTTGGCCTGCTACACTCTTGTCAGGTTAGTCCTTCATTTGAGTATAAATCAAAACATCACAGTAGGTTCAGCAACTACAAAATGAAAAAAGGAGAAACATGTAAAAATAACTACAATAATAAATAAAAAAATATGGCCTCTGAATCGCCAAGGCCAGTTTCAGTTTTCCTCGTTTTTCTTTTCTTCCAATTCCAAAGATGTTACAAATAGAAAGATATTCTTTAAAAACATACAAATACTAAAATAAATAAGTACTCTTCCCTTTCAGTTTGAGTAGAAAAACCATGCATTGTGTGCACAATAGTGAGGCTGGGGCTAACGGTGCTTTCGTGGCAGACAACGCTCATTTGGTTGGTCAATTCAAATGAGTAACTTCACTGCCCCACATCAATCTCCTTGCATACCAATCATACACACACACACACACTCAACCACTCTTGCATAGTGATCTTCTAATGCAGGGGTGTCAAACTCAATTCCTGGAGGGCCGGAGCCCTGCAGATTTTTGTTCCAACCCTGCTCCAACACACATACCATGTAGTTTTCAAATAAGCCTGAAGGACTTGATTAATTGGATCAGGTGTGTTTAATTAGGGTTGAATCTAAACTCTGCAGGGCTCCAGCCCTCAAGGAATTAAGGTTGACACCCCTGTTCTAAAGGTTCCCCTTAGTAAACCCAGCTCACTGGAACCCACTGCGGTTCAGTACAGAGTTGCTCCACAGCCGACTGCAGTTTCTCAAATGCACAGTCTAGGTTGTCATTGACAATAATGAGGTCAAAGTAGTGTCTGTAAGCCCGCAGGATACGAGCGCTTTCATCCACAGTCTTCTTCAGGTCCACATCCTGTGAGAAAGAGAAAACAGAATTATTACTTGAATTAAGAGAGAACTTATGATGTTGACAGATTAACCAGATATTCAGTGAAACTAATAATTATTAAGTCCATTTGTAAAACAACCACTATAAATGATTGATTGAATATTTATCACTTTTTAAAATATTTAATTCCTTCCCCCTGCTTTCTGGGGAATAATGATTGCATTCATACAGCTTATTTCACAAACAGAATGAGGGAATTAAGAGTTTAATACCACAAATAACGTCTGCCAGATCGTTGCTTCAGCAGTGGGCGGGACTAACACACAAGTGGTAATTCCATTGGCTAGTATTCACTGATCACTTTCTGCATTTTGATGTTAGTAAATCAATTGGGTGAACGACAATGTGATTAGCACACAACAGACACTGCCCAGTCAACACGTGAGATCATGCGATGATCACAGTGACATCACACGATCCTCATACTGTGATCCTCATGGTGTGAGTATATGAGCTCATTGTGAGTTCACACGATCCTCATACTGTGATCCTTACGGTGTGAGTATATGAGCTCATTGTGAGTTCAATCGATCCTCATACTGTGATCCTCACGGTGTGAGTACTATATGAAATCATTGTGAGTTCACACGATCCTCATACTGTGATCCTCACGGTGTGAGTATATGAGCTCATTGTGAGTTCAATCGATCCTCATACTGTGATCCTCACGGTGTGAGTAATAGGTGAAATCATTGTGAGTTCACACGATCCTCATACTGTGATCCTCACGGTGTGAGTAATAGGTGAAATCATTGTGAGTTCACACGATCCTCATACTGTGATCCTCACGGTGTGAGTAATAGGTGAAATCATTGCGAGTTCACACGATCCTCATACTGTGATCCTCACGGCGTGAGTAATAGGTGAAATCATTGCGAGTTCACACGATCCTCATACTGTGATCCTCACCGTGTGAGTAGTATATGAAATCATTGTGAGTTCACACGATCCTCATACTGTGATCCTCACAGTGTGAGTACTATATGAAATCATTGTGAGTTCACACGATCCTCATACTGTGATCCTCACAGTGTGAGTAATAGGTGAGCTCATTATGAACTCAAACTATCCTCATACTACAGTGGAGATCAAAATTAGAGAACAACCTACAATTTCCTCAATGTCAAGGTCACTGTTTGATCCTATTTGAAGTTATCCTAACAGGAGTAGAAGGGCAGTTTTTTAAGCATATTAATTGTATTCTGAAGCACAGTATAAAAAACCTAAATGAGATATTTGAAAAACAACTTTAATCAAAATTAGAGAACACTTACAGATACCTCCAAGTTATCTGGCACCTGGTGCTAATTTCCTTAATTATAAGACAAACCCTATTTAACTGGCAACATTCCTCTAATTTTCACTGCGATTCACTTTAGTGATGAGAGCAAGTTTAATTTATTTGAGTCTGATGAGAAACATTTTGTTTGGCATCAAACTGGGTAAAGACTGAAGCCCAAGTGTGTAAAGAAGTCAGTGAAAGGTGGAGGAAGTGTCATGGTTTGGGGGATGTTTTCTGCAGCAGAAGTTGAGCCTATTATACAGCTACATGGCAGGTGAATGCAAATGTTTATCAGAACCTCCTTCAGTATTCAAAGCAGGGGCCTCTACACTTCCTACTAATTTCTGACGGCTGTAACCCTCCAAAATTTTTGTTCTTTTTAGAACTTCTTTCGTGCTACAGCGGTTACTGTTCTCTAATTTTGATCACTGTGTTTCCCACAAAATAAAGTACTTTTTTTTTCAGGATTCTTTTATGAATAGAAAGTTCAAAAGAAACACTTTTTAAATAGAAGGAAAATCTTTTGTAACATTGTAAATGTTTTTACTGTCACTTTTAATCATTTTAGTGCATACTTGCTTTATAAAAGCATTAATTTCTTTCAAAACCCCAAACTTTTGAACGTCAGTGTATATCTCATGTGAACGTATCTTATTAAAAAGCAATTTAAAACGGTTTCTCTACGAAAATGAAGCAAGACCGTTAAGCCCATGTTTACTTAGAAGAACAATTAAAAAACAAGCCCTGTACTCAGAATGACTTTCCGGCAGTTAAAACGGTAATGTTTAAAATTACAGCATGTAAGTTGCAATGAGTAAATACAGCTGGATAAAACAAAAACTGTGTCCGTCTTCATTTCAGGCTGCAAAGCAACAAAATGTGATTATTTTAAAGGTGGGTGATTCTTTTCTACACCCACTGTATACTGAAATGTGGTGAAAATAAATGTCTAAAGATTACTGAAAAATATCTTCACCTTTTAACTATTTCTTTCAAATATTTATTAAATTAGAATTAGAATTTTTTTTGAAAGAAGTCTCTTATTCTCACTAAAACTGCATTTATTTGATCAAAAATACCTTTTTTCAGCACTCTTTGATGAATAGAAAGTTCAAAAGAACAGCAATTATTTTAAATATAATTTTTTTGTAACATTATAAAAGTCTTTACTGTCACTTTTGATCAATGCATCCTTGCTGAATAAGATTTAATTTCTTTAAAAAAAATCATTCAGACACCAAACTTTTGAATGGTAGTGTATATTGCCATATATTCTGTCATTTGAATGAATCTAAATGACATAATATAATATCTGTGAACCTCTCTGACTCTGAGATACCCTCACCTGGGGATTGACATCCAGGATACATGTGCGGCCGGTGTTCACCACCTCATGGATGGAGTCGATTTTAGTACCATACAGGTTGCCGTCATACTCTCCGTGTTCCAGGTACCGGCCCGCCTTGATGTCCATCTCCATCTCTAGATGTGTTACAAATCTATATGACTGACCATCTTGCTCATCACTGCGAGACCGCCGAGATGTGTCTGAGATATTGAGACAGAAGAAAAGAAATGGGTAAACCTATGGGCAATTCATTTATAATTTCGAGGTAAGAGTATTCATTAGATACTCACGTGGTACAGTGGTACCAAAGCGAGTGGGATGTAGTACAACTAGTCTGTTTTTCAGGCTACGACGCCCCACTCCTTGCGCTCCAATCAGAATGAGGGTTTTCCTCTGAAATGGCGGCATACGTGCTACTTCCTCGTAGATCTGAAGCTCATGCCGATCAAACTCTGCAGCACAATGGATTTATCAATATTAGGATAATGATGTACATATACTTGAGTAAGAAGAGACGTGTTTTTTACTTATTCTATAAATTATTAATTAAGAATTAAATTATTTTAATATATACATTATTGGTCAAAAGTTCAAAATAATTCAGTTTTTTTGTTTTTTTTCAGTTTTTGAATGAAGTCTCCTATGCTCACCAAGGCTGCATGTATTTAAGTAAAATACAGTAAAAACAGTAATATTGTAAAATAAAAAAATATTTAAAAAAACTTTTTTATTTTTAATAATTGATAAAAAGTGACAGTTACAAAAACGTGTATATTTCAAAGAAATTCTGTTCTTTGAACTTTCTATTTATAAAATAATTTTGGGGGGAAAAAATGTATCACAGTTTCCACAAAAATAGTAAGCAGGAAATTTCAACATTGATAACAATACGAATAATTATTAATAATTTTTAAAAGTATTTAGTTTTATTTATTTTCGTTAAGGCCCTTTCTGATTACATTTCTATAAAAAATTCATATAACCAAGTATTTTTATCTACTTACCTGCATTTTTGGCAGTAAGGTACATCATTTTTTTCTTCTTTTTACCAGTTATTGTTCCACATAGGATTCCTAAAAAAAGAGAGAAAAAGAGAAGAGGAGTGAAAGAGCTATAATATGTAATGCAATACTACATTTGTCCATTAGGTGGCATTATGTTTGTATTTTCTTGGACAAATTTGTGTGTATTCCATACAAATGTGTACAATATATTTCACACAGTCAATACTGCAAAAGCATAATACATTAATATACTATGTCCTTAAAACAGTATCAGAAGTTTCAGAATACTTCTGTCATTTTGTTTAATTTCATGTTTTGGCGACAATAATGTGTTTTGGTGCATCACCTGATCCATCCAGGTCTCTAGGAACAAATGCTTTTCTCTTTTCTTCCAGAAAGTGGCTGGGAATCAGCCCAGTACCTCCTTCTGTTAAATGGCATGCCTGTCAGTCAAAACAATAAGGTCAGTGAAATACAGTAACAGACCAATTCACATGAGCGAGAACAGGAAAGTAAAAAGCACAGTAATCATACCTGCCACCAGTTTGGGTCTTCTCGGTTGACAATCTGCAGGATATCACCCCTTTTGAAAGCAAGCCCCGCCTCTCTGCATGGAATCAGATTGTCATTGGCTGGATTGTAGTCAAAATGTGGCTGTACATAAACCTGAGAGAAATAAAACAGGTGGGATTAATCCAAACACCAAAAAGCACTCAGCATAATTATTATATCCACTAATACATCTCCAGTTATTTATCAATCAGCAAATGAGACAATCTCTGTCTCAGGAAAGTTAGAACTCGAGCTGTTGACATTCCAGCGGGATTACAGAGTTATAATTTCACTCTCATTCAAGTGATTTTAGCCTAAATAAAACGGTAAATATTAATTGTAATACAAATTAATATTCCTTTCCCCCCCCTTTTTTTCCACACTTGTTAGCTTTAGAACAACAAAATGAGGAACAAAGAATGTGCATTAAATGTGTAATTGATATTTTATGTATTTTTCCATTCTTGGATTGTCATAGAAAATTATGGGAAATGAGAATGAGTCATCTCAGCTCAATAAGTACAGCATAATTAAATGAAAATTTATGACTAATACATATTCATTTCAACTAAAGAGTCGAGGTGTTGCCTTGTTATACCACATGGGAGTAAAAAGCAACATTGTATTCTGAAAAAACAACATTTAAATGTTTAATATTTTTAGTGAATTATTGTAGATGTTTTACATGTGCACAATTGTTTAAAGCATGAAATGGATTTATTTTTTTCCAGCATCCCCACAGCATTGTGGTCCCATTCATATGTGCTCGTCTCATAAATACAATCTTTTTTTTAACATGACTTGAAAGAAAAATCAAAAACCTAATCTTACTTTTACACACATAATCTCGTACTAGATCAAGCATCATGATTTGACAAGTGTAGGCACTAAATTTCCATGGCAGATCTCCATGTTCACCACAGATCGAGGAGGAGGGGATGATATAATATTTACATAAATGTATTTAAATAAGAAGCCTTATTTTGAGGCCTAGTGTCACTGAATTTGAGAAACTGAATCACAATAACAAAATGATTTATGTTTTCAGTAGAATCCTTTTCTAAAAGTTTCTTTTGAAGCCATAAATACGTTATGTACACAGAGGGAGATGTGAGCTACAGAGAAAATACCAGGAGCCATGTAATGAGATTGAATAGAGCATGTGTGTGTGTCTTGCCCCAGATAGCATGTAGAGTGTTATTAATAGGGCTCTCAGGGATCTTTTTTACTACAAAGAATCATGGGATTTCACAAATGGCCAAATGTAACCCCAAGGATGGATGTTAAGGGTGCATTCACACTTGTCATGTTTGGTTCGATTGCTCTGTTAGTACGATGGATATGAACTACATGAATGAATATGAATATCATTATGTATATTTAGTGTCTACATTATGCAGTTTTTTTTCAGTTTGGAGTCAGTAAGATTTTTTATTTAAGAAATTAATAATGTTATTTAGCAAATACACATTAAATTGATCAAAAGTGACAAGACACTTACAATGTTGAAATACAGTGTTGCAAAATATTTCTATTTCAAATAATTTTCTTTTTCTATCTCAAATCAATATATTGGAATGATTTCTGAAGGATCATGTGACACCAAAGACATTTAAAAATATATTAAAATAGAAAACAGCTATTTTTAAATGTAATAGTATTTCACAATATTACTGTTTTTACAGCACTTTTAATCAAATAAATGCAGCCTTCTTGAGCATAAGAGACTTCTTTCAAAAACATTTTAAACATTTTACCGACCCCAAACACTCTTGAACAGTAGTGCATATGGATATTATTGTGTGTGTGTGTGTGTGTGTGTGTACCTGTGGTGGCGCTGGAGCGTCTCTGTAGCTGGGCAGTATACATGTGACACCAAAGACATTTAAAAATATATTAAAATAGAAAACAGCTATTTTTAAATGTAATAGTATTTCACAATATTACTGTTTTTACAGCACTTTTAATCAAATAAATGCAGCCTTCTTGAGCATAAGAGACTTCTTTCAAAAACATTTTTAACATTTTACCGACCCCAAGCACTCTTGAACAGTAGTGCATATGGATATTATTGTGTGTGTGTGTGTGTGTGTACCTGTGGTGGCGCTGGAGCGTCTCTGTAGCTGGGCAGTATTTTCAGTGTTATTCCTCCACTACATTCTTTGAGCATCTCCTGGAGTTCAGTGGGATTATTGCCGACGTCCTTCCCATTCACCTCCTTTATGATGTCACCCACATGCAGCAGCCCCTGCCTGTCAATCAGCCCTCCGTGGAGAATGCGAGCGATTACCAGGTCACCCTTGTCCATTCGGAAGGTCACACCCTGGGCGAAACGATAGCATGAGTAATGAAACGCATACAGGCACTTTCGTTCTGTGTGTGTGGACTGGATATGAACTGAAATTATGACTGGATGAGATTTTAAAAGTGGTGACTGAACATGTGGTCACATATAAATCTATATATTCACAAACACACACCAGAGGTTCTCCTGCTTTCTTGCGGATGCCAATCATCCTGACTGCATCAGCCTGCATAAGAGCGTTGTTTACTGCTGCTTCATTGGTCACTTCAGGAGGGGGTGGGGCTTCATAGCACTTTGATGCCACTATATCATGGGCTTCCAGAAGAAACTGAAGTAAAGAGAGAAAATGAGAACAAAATACTGCAGAAAAATGAGAAAATATACTGAGGAAAATATACGAAAAAACGTGAAGGTACAAGAAAAGAAGGTATGAGATGAGACAAAAAAAGAGAAATGAGATGACATAAGATCAGAACAGAAGGTGCCAAAAAATTAGCCAAGATGAGAAGAGAAGTTATGAGATGAGAAAACAACATTAAGATAGATGAAGATAAGGTATGAAATGAGATGAGCTGAGATGAGAAGAGACGGTACGAGATCAGAGAAGGTACAAGGTGAGACAAGAAGAGAACGTAAGAGATGAGATGAGATGTGAGGGTATGAGAAGACGAGATGATGAGAAGAGAGGTTAAGAGCTTTGAGAAGGTGTGAGATGAAAAGAGAACAGAAGGTACAGGATGAAATGAGGCAAGAAGAGGAGGTGTGAGATGAGAAGAGAACAGAAGGTATGAGATTAGATGAGAGGAAAAGATGAGAAAAGAAGGTGTGAGCTGAAACAAGAAGAGAAAGTACAAGATGAGATGAGTAAAGAAGAAAAGGTGAGAAATTAGAAAAGATGAGACGAGATGAGAAGAGAAGGTATGAGATAAGATGAAACAAAAGAAGGTACAAGGTGAGACAAGAGAAGGTAAGAGATTAGATAAGAAGGAATGAGATGAAGAGAACAGAAAATAAAAGATGAAATGAGACAGGAAGATAATGTGCAAGATGAGAAGAGAAGGTACAAGATTAGATGAAAGGAAAAGGTACAAGGTAAGATGAGAAGAGAAGGCATGAGATGAAACAAGAAGTTGGTATGAGATGAGATGAGACAAGGAGGCAAGGTATGAGATTTAATGAAATAAGAGAAGGTACGAGATGAGATGAGATTATAAGGTATGAGAAGAAATGAAATGAGAAGGTACAAGAGGAGAAGATACAAAAAGAGATGAGACAGGAAGGTATAAGAAAACACTGTACCTGAAAATGGGGCTCCTGCAGGATTTTGGAGAGCTCTGCAGTGCTGTCATCTTGTACAGTCAGTCCGCTGATGTCACCCAGAATCTCAGTCACAAGCTCCACGTTATTCTCCTGCACTGCCTCCAACTTCACATCGTCCAAACGCTCATGAGCCTGATCACAAACATCTCATAATTTCATCAATCCATGAACTGATATTTCTGACTGTGTCTAGCTGCTCCTCTGTGAATTTAATACAAATCGGCATGTTTAATATCCAATAATTATTCATTTCGTTCAGTCTTAATCAATCACAAATTACATTTATTATAAAGACATTATTATTATAAATTATTATTAAATTTGCTTATAGATGAATGGCAAATGGTAAATTTATTTATATAGCACCATTAATTACAACCCATGGTTGTCCAATGTGCTTTACAACAAAATAAAAAATGAAAACACAAAAACACATTTACTTAAAAATACACAAAGTATAATAAAAAACAATAAAATGTAAGGCAGGAAAGTGTTAATACAGATTATAAACCTTGTCAAACAAATACGTTTTTAAGCTAGATTTAAAAGCAGATACAGAGGGGGCAAGTCTGATTGTGATAGGTAATTCATTCCAGAGTCTGGGGGCAACTACAGAGAATGCACGGTCACCTCTACACTTATACTTCGACCTAGGGATAACCAACAGTCTCTGTTTGGAAGACTGAAGTGATCTGGTGGGAAAATGTTCAATCAGCAGGTCAGAAAGGTAAAATGGGGCCATACCATTCAGAGATTTGTACACTATGAGTAAAATTTTAAAATCAATTCTGTGGCGCACTGGTAACCAGTGCAGAGAGCGTAAAATTGGAGTGATGTGGTCCCATTTTCGAGTACCCGTAAGCAGTCTGGCTGCTGCATTTTGAACTAACTGTAATCGGGACAGAGCTGATTGGCTAATCCCAACATATAGAGAATTACAGTAATCCAGCCTGGAGGATATAAAGGCATGGATTACTTTTTCAACATTTTTGAAGGAGAGAAAAGACTTTACTTTTGATAGCATTCGCAACTGAAAAAAGCATGATTTCACCACCAAGTTTATCTGCTTATCAAATTTCAGAGACTCATCAAAGACAACACCCAAGTTTTTCACCAATGTCTTCACACATGAAGACCCACCAAGATTTGCTTTGGGATTATGAATTGAATCTGAAGGACCAAAGACTATAATGTCTGTTTTACTCTCATTAAAATTCAGAAAGTTTAGAGACAACCAGGACTTTACATCTGACAAGCAAGCCATGAGAGTGTCCAAACCGTCTGAATTACGTTTTAAGGGCAGATAAACTTGGGTGTCATCAGCATAACAATGGAATGACAGCCCATACTTCCTGAAGATAGAACCAAGTGGGAGCATGTATATTGAAAAAAGAATGGGAGCCAAAATGGATCCCTGAGGAACCCCACATGATAAAGAAGCAGCACTAGAAAAATGATCTCCAATATTAACTGAAAAACTTCGATTAGAAAAATAAGATTTAAACCAATTTAACGCACTACCCTTAATGCCTGCATGAACCCCACAAGCAATGCAAATCAGCTAGAGTAAAGTCTAGGCAGCTGGGTGCACTATACCTTGGCCAGCGAGCGGACGATAGGACTCTCCATGATGCCTTTGAGGAAGATGAGGTCAATGTCTTTAGCCCCGGTGGTGGTGGGCAACTCACCCGGGTTATCCAACACCTGCTGCATAGCTGCACGCATACAGAGAAAGCCGTTACGACATGAGACACACCTGCAACACGCTGAATATTACACACCAGGGTCAGAGGACAGGGCAAAAGATTCACCTGCAGGATTAAACAAATTTCACATCACAATAACAGATGACTGAAATATAACACCCCCTTCCATGGTACTTTCATCTGCTTATTGTACCTGTTTAGCTATTCTTTTGTCTTCAGTGTTCATTTGATCCACTGAGGTCATTTCCTGAGTGTAAACTAGTATAGTGTGTGAAACACATGTAGTATTCAGTTGTACGTGTGTAAATAGAAAGAGATGCCAAGCATATTGACTAACATTATATATTGTTATAATCGACAAGGCTATAAAAGTCATAATAAAGAAAAAATTAAAAAATATATACACCACCGATCAAAAGACAGGGGCTGTTAAGATTTTGATACAGTAAAACAATAATATTGTGAAATATTATTATAATGTAAAATAACTATTTTCTATTTTAATATATTTTAAAATGTAATTTATTCCTGTGATGCAAATCTGAATTGTCAGCAGCCATTACTCCAGTCTTCAGTGTCACATGATCTGTCAAACATTACACTAATATGCTGATTTGCTGCGCAAGAATCATTTCTTATTATTATCAATGTTGAAAACAGTTTTTCTGCTTAATATTTTTGTGATACACTACCATTCAAAAGTTTGGGGCAAGTAGGTAATTTTGAATCACTGTGTCTATTGCCTCTTAGAGCATAAGAGACTTATTTCAAAAACATTAAAAAAAACTTAATTATTACAAACTTTTGACCAGTAGTGTATATTTTTAATTCCATGGCTTATAACAAGATAAATAAAAAATATATTTTCATTCATTCATAAATTTAAAAAAAATAAATGTAAAAATGTTTTTGAAAAATATTTATTTATTTATTAGTTGTTGTTTTTTTACTTTGTGTCATTCATACTGATAAGACCACTCTCTAACACGGTCATTGACAAGTCTTGCTCCACATCTACACACACAACCATTTTGCGAGGCCAAGTGCTCAGTGAGTCACGTGACTACACAGGTCATAGCCTGCAGTAGTGTAATCCATCTGTGACAGTAGAACAGAACAGAGCGCGTATGTGTGTGCTTACACATTTACTCTCCATCAGGAAACAGTAGGCGAGACCAACAGATCAATATTTAACATCAGTTCAGTGGTTCAATTCCACTCACTTAATTCAGGTCAGACACTGTTGTAGTCCAGAAACAACCATCAGCAAGCTCTGACATTATGCCACTGTTTATTTTCTATTGCAAATATGTCACAGAGAAATGCACCCCGGGGCATTTGGCTGATCAGAGTACATTATGGATGAACTGACAGAGTAATAAACAATTGAGGAGGAAATAAAGCACAAATGAAGTTACACACACACTCAAAAATGAGAGCAAACTAAAACTAACTGTGGCACATAAAGGATCAGCTAATATATATATATATATATATAT